TTTCGACAGTCTGGCTCAATCCAAGAGAATATTCCGCGACATCCTCCAAGGGGGGCCAAGATAATTCATGCGCGTTGACGAAGTCTCGACTACTTCGCGTTGCTCTGATCCAGATTATTATTCAACATCATCCAGGAGGGGCCAAGAAGAACCGTACCTACCGATAGCGCAGTTTGTTTTGAAACGCACTTGCTTTGCTATTGGGAATACCTGTGCACTACGGTCATTGAATCGCGGCTATTTCACCCCTTGCCGTCTCCATTACTAATGGTGTTCAGGGGGAGGGTGTACTTGACTTGCGTTAGGCTAACGTGCTTTGCATGCAGAATTACGAGGACGTGATGCCTGTCGTAGTGGCCGCCTAACAGGCGCCTGGTGTGAAATGAGTTGTTCAAATACAGCGTGTAGGAGCGTGTTCAAGTATGGCGTGTCAGAAGGTTGCGTGTTCAAATCACGTCCGGGTCACCATTATCTGGAGATAACACGACAAAGATCTAGCCCCGACAGCGTTCGGTTTTCGAACTAATTTTTTTAATTATCCCACTGCACCCGCCACGCTGCCCGATGCCGACTTCTTCCTTGACGAGTGCAGCATTCTGAGGCCCTACAGGCGTCATCAGGGACTCGCTCGCGCCAACGACGTTGACAGACACGGCAGTGAGTAGCATGGACACGCTTGTTCGGTGGCTCCACCTCTTCCAAGTTCCTGCCGCCAGCAACTGTGTAGTAAGGTTGATGGTGCTTTGTTCCTTAAGAGATATTTTGCTCTCTAATCAGATAGTTTGTGGTGCTTATCAGAGGTTCGCGAAGGCGCTTCATCTCTCCCTATGGCGCTAAAATGCGACATTGAAGATATGTCTGTGAGCGTTGCAGAAGGATTGCGGCTCGAGGCAAACAGTACGCTAGAAGGGAACTGGATGTTGTCAGATGACTATGGTCCTTGTACCATCGAGGCACAGATTAAGTATAATGCTGTTAGCGTTTCGGTTACGTGGTCGATTTTGCCGGTGGTGACCTTCCAATTGAAGTCAGATCCTATCAGTACGGTAATACTCGTTTTTTTGCCACATATTCAGTTGTAAGCTGTCAGCTACGTTGTACTCTCGTTCGAGAAGCAGGTGCGTATTGTTGGAGACGAGTGGAGGGAATGTGACTGCGCATATTTTAGGAATCGTTAAAGCTTCTGTGGTGGTTAGGTTGGTCACGAAGCAAGGCGTGTGACTCGAGGAAAATGAAGACAGTGCCGAAAACAAAATGAAGTTAAATTGGACGAAAAAAAGCATTGCAAAAATAAAGTCGCTGTACACACACGCGGTTAACACACGTAAGAGAAAAGTAACCAGTCTCACAGTCTGTGCCATAGCCCGGTGTCCTGAAGTGGGACCCGTCGCGAGCTCAGATGCAGTCGTAGCGTGGGTGCACAGGTCAGCGTCCCGCTGCAGAAGGCATCGCCAGGCCTAAGGCGTTGGTGCATACTGTGAGCGACGTTGACCGGCTAGACGTGGGTTGTAGCTCTGCTGCTCCGAGGACGCTAGCCGTACCGAACACGTCCTCAGGACCACTCACCCAGAACTCGTGCTTGGCCACGACGACACGCCATGCCCTGACGACGTATACGGCTCAAGGACAGGAACCCGGCCTTCCAAACCTCGTGCGTAGTTGCGGGTTCGCCCTAGGTTCCTAGCGTCTTCTTTTCAGCGTCCGAGCAGCTTCAATCTGCGCGAGTGCCTTCTCTTCTTTCCTCAATGTGATTGAGAAAAGGCAGGAGATTTAGCTTTGGGGTGCGGATCTTTGGTTGGGCACTATAGCTCGCAGAGGATGGTCAGGTGGCATCGCTGGCTGGTACCACCCCTAAGATTGAGTACTTTCCGGCACATTCTGGCGAAGTTGCTGCGAGTTCCAAGCCGAAAGCAACAATTGGCGTACTGTAGCCTTGCCCGCTTCCCTTCTGCCGATAGGTTGGCATTGCAGGCAGTGATCATGTGATCGTTGCTGAGGCAGAGTGGCCACGCCAGTCTAACAGGCAAGGTAGGCCCCGTTATGGTGGACGCTGATATGTGGAGTTTAATATACCAAAACGACGATATGATTATGAGAGACGCTGTAGTGGAGGGGTCTGGAAATTTTGACCACCTGGGGTTCTTAGGAGAGTTCTGAAAATCTCTTGGTCGTCTTCAGCTCAAGACAATGCATGAAGCGTCACCATTTTTCTGACCCTCAAATACGTTCCAAATTACGGTAAATAAACAATTATGCCATATATCTCAGCTGCTCTTTGATACGAAATTGTCATGGTCTCATATTTGCACTGATAGCTGCACACGAAAGTTTTGTACACTGATTCACTTTGCTTTTATTGCGCAATTATATGGACACTCTAGGCTGGATATCACCACCGGTGTCGACGTCAATGTCATGAAAAGTATGTATATATATATATATATATATATATATATATATATATAAGAGCAAGAAAGAGAAAAAAATCAGAGAAAAAAAGACTACGGTGCACGGAATTAAACTATTCATGTCTTCCACTTACCACTGTTGGCGGCCGTCTTGGGGGGGGGGCACTATCGTGTTTTCAGCATTATCAGCATAGTGGCGCAGTGAGCGCGCAGTGGCTCTCATGTTTCACGCGTACTTTGGCCCTCGTAGGGAATAAGAGATATAGCTCGATCGCGCTCCCTTATCTTGCAGTGGACAGAACCGTACGTCTTGGCAAGTTTTTGAGTTTTGTCGGAACAATTCTGTTGTAGTTACTAGGGAAGAAAGGTCACCGCAATTGTTGCACAACATTTATTTGCGAAAAGGGTGCGTTTTTCAGACACAGCGAAGTAACAACTGAGACGCTTATTCACTTAATTTGTACCTGTGAGTACGTTTCCTGCGTTTTTTTTTGTGCATGAGAAACGCGGGGCACGTGTCGATCTGCTTGCCATTCTGCGCGTTACCTACCAATTTGTTGCTATCACGTTCATTGTTCCGCCCTTGCGGCAAAGCTTGACTTTTTTCAACTTTTGGATGTCTTACCTCCGGATCGTAGAGTTCGAGATAGAATGTCTAAGGTAGATGCGGTTTCAAATTAATTGGTAGTAACATTTCCCGTTTTATTTGCAAGTGATGCCATTGTGCCCTCCACATAGTAATGTCGATATACTGCGAGTTCCACGCAATTTATCTGGCTTATGCCGCATTAGGGTAGCGTTGACGATTTCAAGGGCATAGCTTTTTAACGCTAAAGTAAGTCCGGCGTTATCGTAGTCCTCTCTAGTTCTCGAAGTGTTCACTAGATGGAACTGCGGCTCCATGCACGGAAGCACATAGTATGATCCAAGATCACTAGATGACGCTCGCGTGTCATAGGTGTTCAATTGAATACAAGATGTCACTGTGGCGCTCACTGCATGCGCTACTGTGATGGGAGAGCACGTTCGCCAGCAGTCTGTGTGTTTTGAGTATTAGAGACGAAGACAAGTCGGTGGAGTGGAGGGTTAGGAAAGGGAGTGCAGCGCGTGTTCGCAGTCTTTACAAGATGATCAACTGGGCGAAATTTTCAGAAGGTTCACGGGTACACATGAAATCAGCGGAGCTTCTCTCGCTCATCATCATTCTCCTCGTGAATAAGCTGTAATTTCTTGCATGTGAATTTTGAAAAGAATCATTATGACGTTTATATAAAAACAAGAAAATGTTGAAGACGCAATAACGCAACCAACATAATCAGAATAGAGAGATCTCATCGCACAACAGAAGCGAAACTTTATCAACTCAACTGAATTAAAAAAAAAACGCTGGTGTGTGAGATGTGGTGGAAACAGCCATGTAAAACTCGTCCCACCAAAGTGTAGCTAAAGGAGACTTTTATTAAGACTTGCTAAGCCATTAAGCTTTGCTGACTACCCAGATTTCACCCATTTCTCATTGTGCTTGTTGATACTTGTTTTTTTTTTCATTGAGTTGTTCGTCAACATTCACAAAAAATTAACACTTGAATCAGTTTTGAAAGGCTATGCAGGTTAGAATAAGCGCTAAGAGGTTGGTTCAGTTTTTTCTATGATGCTTCTGCTTTTGTTGAACTCTTGCTGGAGAAGTTCTTCCGGCAATTATCTATGGGTAATTTTTATAGTGGTTTTCTTGCGAGTGCCCTAATTACTCATGCACTAATCAAAACAAGTTCTCTTTATCATGCAGGATACTTTGAAAAGCATGCCAATTGTTTTCTAACGCAAAAATTCTCGCCTTCTTTTTGCAAGTGGAGCGCAGGTTTATTTTTTAAAATGTTCCAGCCTTCACGCGGAGAATTTTAACGAATGAAATAGGTGTACCTTTGAACGGCGTGTGAAAGCGACTAAATACCCTGTCTAAGTAAACGCACAGCAACACATACCATCCGTACTAGCGAAGTATGGTCTATACTCCAATCACGAACAAATTATGGCATGCAAATGTTAAAAAACAGATTACCCAGATTGCCTGATTCACTCGAAAATGCTGGTTTTTATACACACGCATAATGCAAATCAACGAGTGTCACTCATTTAGTCACTCTGTTCGTGTGTATTTTTTTTCTAGGAATTACCACTGCCTTTGTGAAAAGTGTGCTAGAGCATGTATTTATTCCGCAATATATTGAAGAGATCGTTTCCTCACGCGCACTAATAATTATGTACTGCACATTATATCGCATTTTTTATTTATTTTTGTTTGTATTGTGTAACTGTTGATTATTGTTGATGACATCTTGAGTATTAGCCTAAACTGGTCTTTTGCCACTTCCGCCATCTGCTGGCGCCATTAAAAACGGTGGTCAAGAGCTCTTATTGCTGCCTAGAGCAGCTTTTTTCTTCTCCCCTGCCATTGTATCTTCAATGAAAATAAACAATGAGGACAAGAAAATAACAATTGTGCAAAATATACAGAACTCGACGTCCTAATTCGCTTAATGTATCCTCCTAAAGTGAGTAAGTTGATAAAGTTTACGTTTTTAATTTCTTTAGGAGGGCCTTCTTTGAAGTGAAGCTAAAACAGGTGGCCCAACTTCACGTCACTGCTTATTTGGGTGAGCATCTATGTCCCACTTTCGTGCGTGAAATACGTGAAAAATGCTTCCTGCGTGAAGAGTCAATTCGTAGACAGAATTTTAGTGAACACAGTTTTAATATGCGTACACAACGACACTAGTTTAGATGAAGGGAATCGGCCGCAGTAGCAGTGCATTTTTGTTAAGTGGTAATGCTATCTATGCTACGGATTTCTTGTGTGTGTGAGGTTCCTTATTTTTTTTTTAAATTTAAAAAATTTATTCAGTAGCGAAGCGAAGTCGCCAAGTGATATTTAGTTTATTTTCATGAGACATGACATATCTTACTCAAATGATTTTTTAATGCATTTCCTCATATTACTGTACTGTGCACTTTTTGGTTAGTAGAATAGCCTGGTGTCCAAATTTTTTAACGCTTGTCACAACAGAGATAGCCAGCTGTGTAGCTTTGTGTTCAATTATGTTGTAGATACTATACCGACTTGGTTGGCATTCGCTTTACGTTTGTTACGGCCGAGGGCTGGGCAGTGAACAGGCTTCCAACGGCAGAGCTTGCACACGAGACGTACGAATTCATCTGCGTTTATATAAAAAAAATTCATGGAAAGCACGGACGCAGGCTCACCGCGCTGTGGACATCCCTTGTACATACTTCAGCACATGCTACGTCAGTGTCCCGACTTGCGCGAGGGCTGAAGGTCTCCGTCTACGGAGGAAGACGGGCTCCGTTTCCTTACCAGATTCACCAAAGAACAATAGCTCAGGGCTCTCCAGAGAGGCCGCAAGTTACCGAAAGTCTGAACTTACGGGTGCCATCGTGGGTGCGACCCGCAGAGGATACCTCTTACGGGGGCTCTTTAGTCTTCTAGAAACAAAATCCTTTGCCACAGCGACGATGAGAAGGAAGAGACAAAGAGACAATAATAATACGACAATGTACAGATGACGAAGAAGGACAGATTCAACATCTCCAACACTCATACAGAAAAAAGGACAATACGCTATTCAGAACTTGAGCCCGATGCATCTTTGGGCATTGCCAAAAATTTCACGAGTGAGCCGTACAGCCTATACATGACTAACTGAAGTTTCCCATCTATTCTATTATATATCCTGTTGTTTGTATAAGCGAGTTGCATAAGTACCAGCAACACTGTGAAAGCCCCAAGTATTTTATTATTTTATTTTATTTTATTTTTACATACTGCAACCCGTAAGGACTATGGCAGGAGTGGGTAACAGGCCGGTACAAAACATGATGTAATACTATGCGAAGGAAAGCAAAATATATAGTGGCAATACATGGCATCACATGGTGGCCTAATGAAGACATGGTGGCAAGGAAGAGAACACAGTAAACACAGTAAACAGTGAAACGGAAAAAGACAAACTGTCAAAGGGTATTTATGTATAACAAGAATTCATTTAAAGGCAAAGAACGTAAGTCACCGGATAAGTTATTCCAAAGTTCAACAGTTCGTGAAAAGAAGCCAAATTTAAACGTGCTAGTACGGGCGTAGAATGGTGTCATATTCAAGTGATGGTATTGGCGTGTTGAAGAAGGTCTGGAACATGTTAAGCAGAGATCTTTTGAAAGTTTGCACGTCGAATAAATTATAGAATGTAATAACTTGAGAGACTCAATGTTCCTTCGCGATGAAAGTAGAGATAGGTTCAAAGATGGTAATGCTGACGTAGGTGAAAAAGCAGGGTCATAACGCCTGAAGAGGAATCTATTGGCCTTTTTCTGTACCGATTCTATTTGTTTTATTTCGCACTGGTTGTAGGGGTTCCATACAGGTGACGCGTATTCGAGCACGGGGCGGATAAGGCTCTTGTACACAGTTAGTTTTGTATCGCTAGGGGCCGCAGACAGTGTACGCCGGAGGTAACAAAGTTTTTTAGCGCTTTAGAAGTAATGTAATCAATTTGGTGAGACCAGGACAGGTTAGGAGTAAAAAGCACGCCAAGGTATTTATATTGGTAAATTCTCAGCAAAGACAGTCCATTAATTGAGTAGTTGAAATCTGAAAGAACTAATTTATTAGTAAAGGACATGAACACAGTTTTTTGTAGTTAATGTTCATTTGCCAGGAACAGCACCAGTTACAGAAAGATGCAAATGAATCGTTGAGAAGGATGTGATCATTTGGCGAGTGGATTACATGATATAAAACACAATCATCAGCGTACAAACGAATCTTACAATGAACAATATCAGGCAAGTCATTAACATAAAGCAAAAATAACAAAGGCCCGAGGACTGAGCCCTGCGGAACACCAGAAGTGAGTTTGGCCGGGGAAGAAGCAACGGAATCAAAGCACACAAATTGAGAATGGTTTGAAAGAAAGCCAGAAATCCAGTAAACTAATTGTGGGTTATTGAGGATCTTATTTAATTTGTGCAAGAGTTTTGAAAAATAACAGTGTCAAAGGCTTTAGAAAAATCGATAAAGATGGCATCAATCTGATATCCTGCGTCAAGGTTCATGAAAATGTCATGTGAAAAGGCAATACGTTGCGTCACCGTGCTGAACCCGCGTCAAAACCCATGTTGAAAATTTGACAGAAGGTCATTAGACTCGAGGAAGTTCATGATATGTTTAGAGATTACGTGTTCAAGCATTTTACAAGAGTATGAGGTTAATGAAATTAGTCTATATTTGGAAAAGGAGTGCTTATCGCCGGATTTGAAAAGAGGAAGGACTTTACCTATTTTCCAGGACGAGGGAACGGGACCGGTGCGGATCGATGTGTTAAAATTTTTTCAAGGTACCGAGCACACCTTTGGGAATACCGGAGTAGAAATGCATTGGGAATGCAACAAGGACCACTGCATTTTTTTACGTCCAGATTCAATATAAGGTTCAGAATGCCTTCAGCGGTAATTGTAATATTCCCAATGGAGATATTAGAGAGACGATTTTGGAAGGGAGGAACAATGTTAATGTCAACAGAAGAATTGGAACTAAAATAGTCATTGAAGGCATTTGATATATCAGCTGCGGCACATAATGTTTCGCCATCAGAGGTGAATGAAGACGGTAAAGTGGATTTAGGAAGGATAGAACGCCAAAACATTTTGGGATTACTTTTAGGCAGAGTTTGAAGCTGCACCCGATAATAAAAAAAACCCTAGCTGAGTTTGCCATCAGTCGAAGTTCTTCTTTCGCGAGATTGAACTTGGTGATAGTGTCAGGGTTATTGTTACGTTTAGATCGCCTGAGGCGATTCAGACGGCGTGATAAGTGGAGCATGTCGCGATTCATCCATGGAACACTGGGATTAGTCTTTTTCGTTTTTAGTGGAATAAACTGCCGTATACAGGAGTTAATATGCCGCTCGAAGAAATCTACAAGGGCGTTAGTGTCACCACTGAAACTTAGCTCGTTGAACGCTTCAAAGCTATCGAACAATTCCTCGATAATAGAATTATCATCAGCGTTATTGAAGTCAGGGAAAGTGGTGAAAAGCGAACCAGGTTTCGGCAATGAAGAAGGAATGTTAACAACAACTGCACTGTGGTCAGATATTCCTTTGATTATCTCATGAGTGAAGCCATTCTGCGCAGCACGAGCACTAAGAAAAACTAAATCCAGTAGGGCGTTGGACCTTGTGGTGCCAGTAACGATCTGGAGAAGCCCAGCAGAGAGTGACAAATTTAGGAGTGCTTTGTTAATAACGGTATCTTGACCGCTGTGGGTCAATGCCGACCAGTTAACCCCAGGTGTATTGAAATAACCCATACAAACAAAATGTGCCGCAGAAAAGTTATGTTCAAGAATAAATTGGCTGAGGGAGTGAATGCTTTCAACCGAACACGCGGGAGGGCGATAAAATACACCGATTACAATAGACTTTTTAGGAAGATGCAGCTTGCACCTTACTGATTAAGTAGCAGCTGGAGAAGGTAACACCGAAAACTTAAGGTCAGAACGCAGTAGCTAAGCAACACCACCACCTTTCTTAATAGAGCGATCAAACCTAACTGCGATGAATCCTGGTGGGGTATATTCAGAATCAAGTATGCCATCGTTTAACCATGTTTTCGTGATCCCGATCACATGGGGGGAATACGAGGAGACAAGAAAAAGAAGGTCTCGAAACTTATTAGTGATACTCCTGGCGTTTAACTTAAGAAGGGTGAGGTTATCTGGTAGCTTACGGGCAGTTCAGGAAGGCGAAGAAGAACTAGACTGAACGGATGCAGGCACAGAAGGGAGGCGGTTTACATTAACACGACTTTTTACTGGCATGTTAAGGTTAGTGTCCCAGTAATGACGAGTGCCATCAATGTAAACATGGTCGAAATGTATTTTAACTGTGGAACCAATGCTACGATGAGATGAGATGGCCTCCCAAAGTTTGCTACGTAACGAACGTACTCGCGTAGAATAATCTTCAGCAATGCGGAAACCAGTGCCTTTTAGCCTTGGAGAATTGCTCCAAAGCTGTATTCATGCAACACCGGGCGGATTCACGCCGTTGCGCATAAAAATTATTTAAAAAATGTGCTGCAAGGCGTCGCTCGAACTATTGTAAAGAAAGCTGTATGAACGTGAGATAGGCGGTTGATTTTGATCTGAACTTTGTGTGTGATCCACGTAGTATGCAACAAGGCAAAATGCATGGTACTGCTCATGCACCTTGACGGCTGTGGTTGATTTTTGTACGTACGTACACAGGGTGCACCAGTGTATTCTTCATCGCAACTCGTCCATTTCGGTTTAATAGCTACGGCCGACGTAACTTGCCCCGCCATGGTAGTATAGTGGCTAAGGTACTCGTCTGCTGACCCGTAGGTCGCGGGATTGAATCCTAGTGGCGGCAGCTGCATTTCCGATGGAGGCGGTAATGTTGTAGGCCCGCCTACTCAGATTTGGGTGGGTTCAACAAACCCAGGTGGTCAAAATTTCCGGAGCCCTTCACTACGGCGTCTCTCATATTCATATGGTGGTTTTGGGACGTTAGACCCCACATGTCAATCAACGACGTAACTCGAAACTGAACAACATCTATGTTACTATCGATCCTAGCGTATATTAACCATGCAAGCGCTTTCTGAATATAAGCGTGAAACTTAATGTCCCTGCTAGTCATGTTTCTTGATGACAGATGACAAAACTTTCTCCTGCTGTGTCATTTGTTACTCGGTTTTGAATGTTTCAGCCATTATTCATTCTATTGCCTTGTGGTGAAGGCATCTTTCAGATACATTTTCTGTCAATTAGCGAAATAAGTGAGTGACACTGAACTAAAAAAAACGGCACCATTTTATAAATACTAAAGCTCTAAGAATAGAGCCACAACTTTGGGATAAGTATGGCAAAGTGTTCTTCTGTTTTCACAATATAAAAATGTAAATAGATGGCTCGAAAGCATAGCTCAACTAAGAGCGTTCTTCAGTAGCGTGGTTTAGTCAGAATACTAAATATATGTGTGCTGAAGAAGGCATTTGATTGATATGTGCGGTTTAACGTCCCAAAACCACCATATTGCCACCATTGATGAATGAGCCGCTGTGGCTCATACGCGTTTTGGGCTACGAGGAAGAAGAGAACGTTTTGGTTGCTCCGGTTTGGGTGAACTCCTGGCTGCAGATCTTGTTTTTGCTCGCAACATTACTGGTGGAAGTGCTGGGTACGTGTACTTCGGCTGTGTCGGCCATCGTGGAGACAGCTACATCTCCCAGAGCAAGAAGCAGCAACCGCCTGCGTGGGTTACCCCCTGAAGTTGGTCCCTTGACATCGACACCCAGAAAGATGGCAACTCCGATGACAAGCCAGGCGGTCCAAACCAGCGATGCCCATGGTTTTCTTCTCGCCCATGTTTTTCATGCGCCACAGACACCAAAGCCGTTCCATGGAGATATCTTCGAGGATGTTGATGACTGGCTCGACCACTTTGATCGGGTTTGCTGTATCAACGAATGGGACGATGTTCGCAAGCTGCACAGAGTTTACTTTTACTTGGAGGATTCTGTGAAGACATGGTACGAGAACCACGAGGGATCCTTTGCAACCTGGCAAGAGTTTAGCCGTCAGCTCCATGACGCCTTTCGGAACACCGAGAGGAAGGAGAGGGCCGAACAAGCCATATCCTACAGAAACCAGCGGCCGAACGAATGAGTATCCATGTTTGTCGAGGACATGCTTCGGCTCTTCAAGCGCGCGGACCCCGCCATGCCCGAGGAAAAGAAGGTGAGGCATTTGATGCGTGGAGTAAAAGAACAGCTTTTCGCTGGGCTCGTGCGCAGTCCACCAACGACAGTCGCCCAGTTCATCAGTGAGGCGAACACAATGGAACGTACGCTGCAGCAGCGGTCATCACAATACGAACGCCAGATCCCGGCCACCGCATGCTCTATCGGCTCTGACAGCGAGAGACAGGCCCTCGCAGACTTCATTCGAAGTATTGTTCGGGACGAACTGCGACAGCTTCAGGCGGTGGGATCCCATCAACCTGTGTCTGCCCTCGCGGATGTAATCAGACAAGAAGTCCGGCAGGCCATCACACCCCTGACCCCAATCACACCACCGATTCCCGTCCCGAGGCGCCAGTCCTGACATACGCAGCAGCATTGCGATCCCCTGCGCCACCGGCTACAGATCCTGCTATGCTGCCCAGGTACCAGGCTATGCAGTCATTCCACACCACTGCTTCGAGCCCGCCTCACGGCTCAAGGTTCCCGTGCACACCCACCTATCTGCAGTCTACCTCAAGACAAAGTGGTAGCAAGGCAAGCACGTGGCGCACCTCGGATAACCGTCCGCTCTGCTATCACTGCGGCGAAGCGGGTCACGTATACAGGAACTGTCAATACCGGCAACTAGGTCTCCGCGGCTTCCATCCTGAAGCTCGATGCCCGCGCTATGGTGAGCGCCCCCGCGAAATCGAAGCCTATCTCACGGGCCAGCGAACACCTTCAACTGTTCAGCACCACAAGTCGAGATCACCGTCGCCTCGCCGGTCTACGTCACCCAGTTTGCCCACATCGTCTTCCGCTCCTTTCAGTAGCCGGTCACCAAGTCCCCGCAGGGGAAACTAGGAATGGCGGCTTCTGGGGGTGAAGTCGCAGCCCGGCGAACTGTAAAAGACCCTCATTCGACGCAACGACCAGACAAGGACCATTCCGGTTCTGCAGTGTTCTCTGACAGCAGAAAGATCGTTTCTGCCGAAATCGCCGTCTTCGTCGACAATCATGCTGTCAACGCCCTCGTCGACACCAGGGCCGACTATTCCGTAATGAGCACCGCACTGGCATCTGAACTGAGGAAGGTTACCACACCATGGCAAAGACCGCAGTTGCGCACGGCAGGGGGCCATCTGGTGATGCCTACCGGTATGTGCACGGCACGCATTTGTATACGTACGTCGACATTTGCAGGCTCTTTCCTCGTATTGCGCGTGTTGCTCTCGGCCAGTCATTCTAGGAATGTACTTCCTTCGTGAATACAACGCCGTCATTGACCTCCGTGAATTAATTGTGTCGTTCGAGGATCCTTTTTGCGCTGCAACTGACAGTACACAATTCCGGAAAAGAGCACTTCGTGTTACCGACGATTCTCTGACTCTCCCACCTCGAAGCAGCCTCTTTGTCGAAGTAGAATTGGGACAGGACATGTCTAACGCGGTAATTGCAGAGGCCAATTTGTCTCTCCCTATTTCACGACAAATCTGTGTTGCCCGAGTAATCATTCAGCCTAGCAATAGGCATGTTCACCTGCTGGTCACGAACTTCAGCGACAAATATCGCCACCTAACGAGACACACTGCCATTGCATATTGTGAAGAACTTGCCGATGCCGATGGTTCGCCCACGTTAGCTTTATTTTCATCGAATGGCCACCCTGACGAGGCGTTCACGAGCACTCTCGACGTAAACGAGAGACTACCTTCGTCTCAACGAGAAAGCCTTTTGCGTTTACTCGGCTCATTTAAAGACTGCTTTGCCACTACGTCAAGGGTTAAACAGACACCACTTGCTCAGCACCGTATCATCACGGAACCCACCGAGAGACCCATCCGACAACACGCCCATAGGGTGTCGCAAAAAGAGAGCAAGACGCTATACGTGACCAAGTCCAACAGATGCTTCAGGACGACGTCATCCAGCCATCAACCAGTCCCTGGGCTTCGCCAGTTGTGCTAGTAAAGAAGAAGGACGGTACGTTGCGTTTTTGCGTTGATTACCGTAAACTGAACAAGGTCACCAAAAAGGACGTTTATCCTCTACCCCGCATAGATGACTCGTTGGACCGTATACGCAACGCTAAATATTTTTCTTCCATGGATTTACGTAGCGGCTACTGGCAAATCGCAGTGGATGAGCGCGACCGCGAAAAGACGGCGTTTATTACTCCCGATGGCCTGTACGAGTTTAAAGTGTTGCCTTTCGGTCTATGCTCAGCGCCAGCTACTTTCCAAAGAATGAAGGATACGGTTCTCACAGGGCTCAAATGGCAATCATGTCTTGTTTACCTTGATGACGTCGTGGTCTTTGCAGACACGTTTGAACAACACGTCCAACGCCTTCAGGCAGTACTTCAGGCAATCAGAACAGCGGGGCCTTCTCTCAAACCCGAGAAATGTCATTTTAGATACGAAGAACTGAAGTTCCTTGGTCACGTTGTGAGCCATGCCGGCATCCGCCCAGATCCGGAGAAAACCCGTGCTGTTGCCGCCTTTCCCATGCCCACAAATAAGCGCGACCTACGCCGATTTCTGGGGCTCTGTGCGTATTACAGGCGCTTTGTCAAAAACTTTTCGAAGATTGCTGAACCCCTCAACAAGCTTACAAAAGACGGTGTCTCGTTTGTATGGGATCCCGATCAGTGTCATGCGTTCGACACGCTCCGAAACCTCCTCCAGGCTCCGCCTGTACTGGGTCATTTTGACGAAAGCGCTGACACGGAATTACACACTGACGCCAGCAACGTTGGAATAGGAGCGGTATTAGTTCAGTGGCATAATGGCGTAGAGCGCGTGATCGCTTATGCGAGCAGATTGTTATCCCCAGCGGAGAAAAACTATTCTGCAACTGAGAAGGAATGCCTCGCTGTTGTCTGGGCCATAACAATGTTCCGCCCATACTTGTATGGCCGCCCATTCAGGGTAGTTAGCGACCATCATTCTCTTTGTTGGCTCGCAAATCTCAAAGATCCCTCAGGTTGTCTAGCACGATGGAGCCTTCGGCTACAAGATTTCGATGTCACCATCGTCCACAAATCTGGGCGGAAACACACCGACGCCGACTGTCTCTCACGTGCACCGGTCGAAAATGCCAACACTGACCTTGAAGACGACGACACTTTTCTTTGTGCCGTATCAGCAACCCGCTTAGCTGAGCAACAGCGTCACGACTCGGAGCTCATTCCACTCATTGACTACCTGGAAGGATGCAATTCCCACCCTCATCGAAGCTTTGCACGCTCGCTATCCTCCTTTTGTTTCCGCGATGGAATGCTTTACAAAAAGAACTTTCATCCTACACAAGCTATGTATCTGCTTGTTGTGCCAAATACGCTTCGTGGTGACATTTTACGTGCGTGTCATGATGAGCCATCGTCCGGACACCTCGGTTATACGCGCACGCTGCAACGGATTCAACGCTCCTACTATTGGCCACGTCTCGCAAAGACTGTGAAGCATTACGTTCGCACATGTCGCGACTGTCAGCGACGTAAGGTTCCACCTTTACGACCAGCGGGACTACTGCAACCAATAGGCCCACCAAAGGCGCCCTTTCATCAGATTGGCATGGACTTGCTGGGGTCATTCCCCACGTCTTCGTCTGGAAACTGGTGGATCGTGGTCGCTACCGACTACTTAACACGCTACTGTGAAACGAAGGCGCTTCCAAAAGCAACCGCAGCAGATGTCGCCCAATTTTTCGTGAACAGCATCGTCTTACGTCACGGTGCTCCAGCTGTCGTCATAACTGATCTTGGGACAGCTTTCACCGCAGAGATGCTGCAGGAAGTCTTGCGATTAAGTGGCACGGAACATCATAAAACAACGGCTTACCACCCGCAAGCAAACGGGCTGACTGAACGACTCAATAAGACAATTGTAGACATGCTGTCAATGTATGTGGACATCAATCACAAGAACTGCGACGCCATACTTCTCTACGTAACTTTTGCGTATAATACTGCTGTTCAAGAAAGTACCGGTTTCACACCTTTTTGCTTAGTCCACGGTCGCGAGGTCACGACGATGCTCGACGCCATGCTCCTGCCCGACAACTTAGGAACATACCGCACCGATGCCGCCAAATTCGCGCAGTCTGCAGAAGAGGCCCGTCAAATTGCTCGTCACCGTATTCAACATCACCAAAGCGCAGACGCACGCCGCTACAATCTTCGTCACCGTGAAGTTATTTTCAAGCCCGGTGATGAAGTCTGGGTGTGGACCCCTATCCGACAACGTGGCCGTTCAGAAAAGCTTCTTCGCCGCTACTTCGGCCCTTACAAGGTCGTACGACGTCTCAGCGACGTCACATATGAGGTTCTCCCGGAAGGCACTTCGAGACGTTCCCGTTTCACCCCGCGAACTGAAGTCGTTCACGTTTCACGGCTGAAACTATACTTTTCGCGCTGTGAATCGCCAGAGAGTGACTGAATTTATTTGTCTCTCCCTTACATTCTTTCCTATTTTTCTTATTTGTCATTTAACTCTTGACTTCACAACCAACTATGATATTCCGCCTTACGTCATTCATTTTGCTTGCATGGTAATTTTCATCTCATTTTCTTTTTTTTTGCCTTCATGTACAGCATCGAGACGATGCTTCTTGGGAGAGGGGGTAATGCCACCATTGATGAACGAGCCGCTGGGGCTCATACCCGTTTTGGGCTACGAGGAAGAAGAGAACGTTTTGGCTGCTCCGGTTCAGGTGAACTCCTGGCTGCAGATCTTGTTTTTGCTCGCGACAATATGATTATGAGAGACGCCGTAGTGGAAGGCTCCGGAAATTTCGACCACCTGGAGTTCTTTAACGTGCACCCAAATCTGAGTACACGGGCCTACAACGTTTCCGCCTCCATCGGAAATGCAGCCGCCACAGCCGTGATTTGATCCCGCGACCTGCGGGTCAGCAGCCCAGTACCTTAGCCACTAGACCACCGTGGCAAGGCTGAAGAAGGCACTTGTGCTCTCCAGAATATCATTAATATTTTATGCATCTAGTCTTAGTGCATAAGAATATAGGCACTAAGGTTTTGTGAATGTAAGGAGAAAACAGCACTTGGTATGTACTAATTTGCTGACACTGTCACCGTGCATAATTTACAGCTCATGGTTTTGAAGACAACAGAGTGTCAGGACACTTCGACATTCTTTATGCAGAGAATGTGTGTTTTATTGTCGGGACGAAGAAAGATGGTAAGTATCCATAGCGTCAGGTACAGAAAAAATCAATGTTTGGTTAAATCACAGCTGTAGAAACTGAAAATATTTCTTATATGCACAAGATATGTACTGTCTTTCGTAATATGAGATAATTAGGCGAGTGTGTGCTGTATAACCTGATACACCAGTTGAACCGGTCCTCATGGCACTGTGAAAATAAACTGAAATTTGTGGTACATTGCTGTTAATGTTTTTACTCCCAAATTCAGCATGTTTTACGATGCGCGAAATATACGACACAAATGGTGACTTCAGATGGTGGCACTTTTTTAGCACTCACGTGCAGCAAAAAGCAGAATCGTTTGTTTAACCGTATTTTGCGTACCTTCGTTCTGTGTTTAAGGGCGAAACTCCTCGAGGTTCAGCGGTGTCCGTCGTCGTCTCGCAAGACGTTGATGCTGATGACAATCAAAAGCAAGTGCGTTCAGAGTAGACATTCTTTTAGGGGTTAAACGCTTTGAGGTCGAGGCTTGTTTGTTGTCGTTGTGTGTTGTATTCGCCACTGACTATGGCAATTAAGAAGACGATGATGCTGATGACGATGAAGAAGAACAAGCGTCTTCAGACCACACATTCTCTTTCTGCTTTCACGGCACAGCAAATTCAAGGTAGACCATGACTGTGTCATCGACGTTGATTGTGCCAATGACAATGATGATCACGAACAACGACTGACTTTTGTAGTATAGGACGTCTTGATACACTTTACGATTCATTTTGTATGACTGGGAACAACTAACAACCACCAGAGAAACGTGCCCAGACCTCGTTTTTTCGAAACTTCAGGCTGGATCAGCTACCACTAAGCAGGGCTTACGAAGACGAGACAAAATTCCCAACTGAACAGAACATACCAGTTATTAACAATAAAAATTGTATAACTGCACACCCCTTGGCACTAATATACATGCATAAGAGTCGATGTCACGGGTGATTTACGGTAACAGCACGTGATAGCACTGCTTTCACTACTAGTCGTTGCTCATGTTGTAGGTATGCGATGATTTTTCTACAAACTGAGGCATAAGAGTATAAAAAGTTCTTATCTTGCGCAGGCCTATAGGAGGCCCAGTACAGCACTCTGCACGGCATACCCGCCTTGTGCTTGCTGCCGGTGAACAGCTGCTGATCGCTTATTACGAAATCAGTTTCCATTATCATGCGAAGGCAATAACATGGCTTTGCGACGGCTTTTTATTGCTGTCGCTGTAAAGTAGAAATCTTTAAAGGAATGATCACACTGACAACAAAAAGGGCCTCAGCTGACCTTTCTCAAGCCGCCGTACGTCAACCATTCAGCCCCCGCACGTTTGTCATTCTTTTCCGTTCAGAAAATTGATCCAAGAGCCATTTAACGAACGTTCTTCTGGCTGCCAGAGAGCGAAATATCCGATGTGCTATGAAGGAGCTTTATTGGCCTTTCGTATTGTCTGCGTCTGCGTCTGCTGCGAGACGCTTTAAAATTCTTTTTGCTATGAGACGCGTTAAAATTATTTTTTTTGCTGTGCTATTTTCACGTGAGAAGTACGCATGTCTTCATTGCCGTTCTCAGTAAAGGTTCCAGCACCCCATTGAGCTTTTTTATCGATCCACTAACAATAAAAACCATGACTTATCCTACCGTCAAAGAAATTGGTGTAACACGAAAGTAAAATATTATCTTACAGAACTAGTTTAACATTTAGGGTACATTGATATTAGGGACCTCGCGCTATGTATGCTTGTATTTAACAGCTTTAGCGCCGTTTAACGTAGATACACTCAGCTCTAGCTCCGTTTAATGTCGATACTTACTGATACATTTCCATCCCAACGACTAACATCCATAATCAATGATTAAAGAAACCTATGTGCTGTTAGGTTATCGTGGTAGTAATAGTAGTTAACAGTGAGAGTGGAACCAGAGAAAATGGTGTGATAGCCCGAAAAGCCTCGCCGAATACACACCAAACATGGGATAAAGGCGCCTACTCACGTTGTGTTAGAGTTAGTGAACTCAACTGCCAGAAATAACGTCGCTACTTCTCCACAGCCAGACAAATTCGGAGGCTGTGGAGCGGTACCGACGTTATTTCATGTAACGCTGGAATGTCAGCGTCCACCTCCAGGCACTCTGCCAACTCCTCTCCTATTCCTACCCTACAAGACAAGGAGGCCATGCTGCCTGATGAAAGCCCGAGTGGCCAGCGGGCGCTGGTTCGGCGGGCACGGAACGCAGCAGAGGCTGGTGGAGCTCTGAACTGAGAATCCCACCCGACAATTCTCTATTATTGAAATAAAACATTTCTCCACTGCCGGACGAAAGGGAAACACAATGGGTGCCATATCTTTGCTGGCGACAGGCCTCAATTTTTCATGGGGCAAGTGGAAGTAGAAAATGCATGGTGGCATCGCGTAATTATTTTTGGAATATATTTGTAATGCTGTCGAGGCAGCGAGACCACCGTTTTCGCAAAGATCGCCTGCTGGTGGCGTGTTAAGGCATTGACGAAATTGCACTTTCGCTAAAGAAAACACGCTGAAAAATTACGCCTTAATGGAGCTAATCGTGCATGTAACGGTCACGATGCGTCACTTTATTTAACCAAAAACGATATGAGATGACAGCGTTTGATATAAAAAGTGGATTTGTAAACAATTTGGAATGCACGACGCATTGTATTCTCACGGACCGAGAGGTTAAGGCTTCCACCCTTGGAGGCGACAAGTTTTCTTTGTTTTCTCATCATATGTATTTTTTACGTGTTTTTTCGAGAATAAAAGTCCCAGGAGACTCCAGTAGACACCACAAATTCTCGGTAGACCCTGGCACAAAACACTTCCGGGTTAAAACTGTAGAGAATCGGCATGTAGGAAAGGGTGTTTCAGATCCACTAACGTCAAATCTGGGGAGGATCGATGCATGGATTGTTAACTGGTCTAAATTGGAGCCCCCCGTTTGCTACAATTAGGCCCAGAAGCCCACAGTTCACTTTAGTGTAGGTTCACGCTGCGAATCTTCGTTGTTCAACTACGCAGAAAAGAATAGTTTCACCAAGACTACACTACAAGTTAAGAGAAAGCTGCAAGAAAAGGCAGAGAGCTTAACGAGAAGCATGTCCGATTTGCTATCCTGCACTGGGAGAAGAGGTGAAAAAGATAAGAGGAGAGAGGAATGAAAGATGGACATAATAATGAGCAAAATATTGGTAGCACATGCAGTGTACAGCCGGTCGCCCAGATGTGTTTACGTGAGGCAGTTCAGTAGCACTTAAGTTGCTTTCTGCGCTATTTAGGCACACGTTCAAGGTCCCAGAATATTCTGTACAAAAAAATGGCCCCGTATCTGCATCTAATCTGCAAATTTCGTCGAAAAACGATAGTCTTGTGTGTGGAGAGAGTGAATAAAACATTTTTTTGATCGTGTGCTCAAGAAAATTGATGAATGGCATTCTGTTTTTCAAAAACAAAGCGCGTGACTCTGGGATGGTTGTGCACGCCCGCCTCAGAGGTGGAAAAGTGTAGAACGCAAGGCAACGGGCAGATTCCACCCCCGACTCGTTTTAGGAAAGCGTTGGAAACGCTCGCCTTTCCGTGCAAGCGTTGGATGGTAAGCGCAGCGTGATAAGCGCTATGGCCCTTAAAATAATTATGTATGCCTTTTCTCGTAAAAGGCGCACATGCTGAATATAAGCGTGTTGTTATGATGCCCTATACAGGCGCAATTTGTGCGTTTTATTCGACAATTGCACAAGTATGAACACTGAATCTTGAGCAACATAGGAGGGCGCTGCGGATGGGGTCGGCCGTTTCAAATACCCAATGCTGCTAAGAGTGGACAGACAGACAAATGTACAGACATACAGACAGAGATACAGACAGACAGACAGGCAGGCAGGCAGACAGACAGACAGACAGACAGACAGACGGGACACCAATGGGGAAGCGTCACTGTGTAGCTTCTATATGTGCTGCACATTTGCCCCACCGTAGTGGTCTAGTTGCTGAAGTACTCGGCTGCTGACCCGCAGGTCGAGGGGACAAATCCCGGCTGTGGAGGCTGCATTTTTAATTAAGGCGAAAATGCTGTAGGATGTTGTGCTCAAATTGGGGTGCAGGTTAAAGAACCCCAGGTGGTTGAAATTTCCGTAGCCCTCCACTTCGGTGTCTCTCATATTCACATGGTGGTTTTGAGAAGTTGAACCCCACATATCTATCAATCAAGTGTGCTGCGCCATTATGCGGTGGCAGCGCTGCTTCGAACCGCAAAAAACAGACGTATGATAATATACTGAAAAACAAGTCTAACGCATCTCATCGAAAAAGCCTCAGAAAGGACGTGCGCTGCAAGCAGCGCGACCACTCTTGTAGCGTCGCATTACGATCATTCCCTGTACTGAGGCGGACCGACAGCTCCCGTTGATAAGGGCGTGTTTCCATTGCCATTGAAAGAAAAAAAGACAGCATATCCATGGAGTGAAGATCATGAGGGGGCGAAGCGTCTGTCCGTGGATTCGTTCGTTCGTGCGTCCATCTATGCGCCCGTCTATCCATGCATGCATGTGTCCTCAGTCCGCCCATCCAGGCATCCATCTATCCATCCATCTGCTTGTCTCTCTGTCCATTCATGCATCCGTCCATCCATCTAGTGAACACTTTAAGTACTGCCATCTGGCATCTTTTCAAAATATATTCATCATATAGAAGTACCGCCATCCAGCGCACATTCCAAGGACTAAACGAGAGGTGGCTACAACAACAACTACTACTATTAAATACATCGCGGACACAGGACCCAACCGAGCGTCATCGTCAAAAAATGTTGTGCTCCTGAGAGTCCGGGCATGAAGACACCGACAGTATTTCAACCTGCTTTATTCGCATACCAAAGAGTGCTGAAGGAAAAGCGCCACCGCGTAGCCACCTGCCAAGCGCTTTTATTAACCGCCTGAATGATGGTGTTGCGATACTTCGCGCGTCGCAGAGTATCAAGC